TCCTGGTGCCTGGTAGAGGGGACGGAACACCTCATGTGTTCATTAGCTGGTGGTGGTTGCTGGTTCCTCCCTCCTTTGGACTCTCTTCATATCGTAAAATGAGCCAAAGCTTCATCGTAGTCTCAGGAGCTGATAGAGGTGTTTCCTTGTGTCCCACTCCTGCTTCTGTTGGCAGTGACGAGATCAATACGCCCTGTATTGCCTGGAATGGTTCATTCTAACAAAGAAAACCCTGAATCTCCATGACTTAACACCATGCCATCTTATTTCTTGCTCACCCAAAATTCCATGTAAAAGAAGTGGCATTCCACATTTCAGGACCCAGACTCATTCCATCTTGCAACTCTGCCATCGCCGAAGGCTTGGGGGTTCTCCCTTGAATTTCTGCATTCAACTTGAAAAGGCGGGAAGAGACTTTGGGGGTTTCACAGGCTCCCAAACGCTCCACCTGAAAGGGAGGCACATCCCTTCCTCCCAGATTCTTTTGGACATAACCGTAGCCACAATTAACCTTACGAAGGTGAGGGCATGTGGTCTGGCTATGTCTCCAATAGGCAGAGGAAGCAGGGGTGAGGGAACAGGCTTCTGTCACAGGCTCCAGTGCATAGATGCATGCAGAATCCAGGCAGTCTTTTCAACAAAGGATTTCCTGCAGATGCAGCCTTGCAGCTTCTCCTTGACCTCACCCCTGACCAAGGAACACTCAGGGACTAATCAGGTTAGAGGTACAAATACATAATTAGTGCCAAGAAGTCCAGCATGTGACTTCAAAGAAGACTATTCAAGGCCTGCTGACCTTTCGGTATTGATCCATAAATCAGTAACTTAAGGCAAATGCAGCACCATCCTGTTGGTCTTTGCAGAAGAGGCTGCTCTGCGAGGTTCACCTGAGAGTTACCTGGTGAAGACATGGGTCACCTGGGGAGTGTGAATATTTTGACCTTTTAACATCTGCTTGTGGAGCTCCGGGAAGAGATGAGAAAGAGGGAAGGACAGATAGAGGAGAGTAAAAGTAGGTCTGAATTTTAGTATGGTTAACCTGGAAGAACTTAGAAGTTTGATGATTCACACAATAAACATCAATTTCTCCTACCATACTTCTTAATGTGGATTGGTGGGGGACTTTGCTCTCCCATTGACTTGCTGGGCTGCTGGCTGGGAGGCCCACCTTGTAGCAGCTGCACCATCTTGAATGGTCCACTCTGCTCCCAGGGCAGGGCAGGGCAGGTACAGAGTGAGGAGTCACAGGTGAGCTTTTCACTGCCCCACCAGAGAAATGACTCCCATGACTTCTGCTCACATTTAGTTGGTCAACTGCCAGGGGCTGAGAAGTGTAGTCATCCACGTGCTGGGAAGGAGAGAATGACAGGTCTTGGCGAACACGGACTGTCCTCAAAGGCACAGCATGGATTCCGCAGAGGTGCTGCTTCTGGAAGGATGATCTCTTGCTGGCCTTACCAGGAAGGGTGTGCGATGTTCCCAGTACTTACCGTGCACTCAGCATCAGAAGGCTTTCCCCACTCTTGAAAGAGACCATTGATCGGACCAGGCCTTTCTACTTCCCAGCCATTTCACGAATTTCGGAGAATTGGGAAGAAAGGGAGTTTCAAAAGTTTCTTCGGCATCTTCAGGAGGGATTGATCTGGTGGCTCTCGCTTCACGCTAAGGTTTCCCAAACTTCATTTCTCACCATCTTCCTGAGTATTGTCATAGAGAGAGAAGATGATGCCTGCACCCATATCAGTAGAGATTGCTAAATTCACTACTCATTTCCCATCTTCATAAACATACATAACTTGATATTTTTTAAACAAAACGCATCACCAAGTAAAAGGAGAGCGAGAAAACAAAAATAATAATCAAAATAAAAACAAATCGATGTTAATAGCTTGAGCTAGATGTTGTCATTGTGCAGAATGAGCTTCCCATTTTGTTTAAAAAACATTTGCAATTACTAAGAGGTTGTTTCAGAGTAGCTCAGGCCTGAACTTTTCTCCTGGATGCAATCAGAAGGACTGGAAGAGAATGGCTTCAGTTTTACAGGATGCCCCATCTTTAGAGGGCCCGCCAGCATCCTCTCATCCACCAGTGGCATAACCCCTGCAGTACTTGAATTCCAGCTGCTTTCTGCCATTATCAACCCTCAAACAAAGTTGGCATTTCTCAAAAACTGCTACAGGGAATGTTTTTGTTTTATTGAAAAACAACAACAAAAACTGATTAGTGTAAAAGCCTTATCAACACAGCATGAACAATTAGTGCAATATAATTACCGACAAAATTAGGCTTACAAATTGATTTATGGCCCTGCAGATGAAACACATATTCTTGGAGGAAAGCAGATTTCTTACAACTAACTTGAGAGAGACAAGGTGGGAAGTTGTCCCGGGGCAGGGGCTGGAGTTAGGGACCTACGAGCCCTCAGCATCCATCTCCAAGTCTTTCTAAGTTTTGCTTCCCCACAATTAGCTGTGCTAATTACCCAAAGAAGATTAGATGTACCAGGGAGAATGGCATACTGGAGAGAGAAAAAGTACCAAGCCATTCTTGCATCTTATTTTAGCCACTGATTAGGTATCTGAAGTTGCAGCTTCCCAAAAAAGCTTCCATATCAGAGTCGAAAAAACTTTCATTTAGCCAACTACGCATAATGAAGAAAACGTTTAACATTTTAGGCAGCAGCTGGAACTTGACAGTCACCTTTTGTCTTCACACTACAGATAGAGAAACCTTTTGCAATGGCAAAAAGTTGTTTGATGATTGCAATTCAGGGGAAAAACTCAATTTGATTTAGAAAAACATGATTGTTTTTAATGAAGAACAGGGACCACTTGTTTCTAGTTAATATGTTTGAGAAATGTTTTACAAATAGACTCAGTGTCACAAATAGATGATTTACAGATAGACTGAGACTCACTGTAGCGTTAAGGATGGAACCTGGATTATGCATTCGGTGCAGGCATCAATTTTGACACTCAGAGACCAGGTGAAGGTGTCCAAGAGAGGAAAGCTCAGCTCTCTCATCACTCAGGTGAAGGAGAAAGGGGACCAGTGGTTTCAGCAGGTGTTCTGCAGGTGGGCAGGATCAGCATCACCTGGAACTTTTCAGAAATGGAGATCTGAAGTCCCACCTTGACCTGCCGAGTTAACTCTGGGGTGGGCCCAGCAACCCAGGTCTAACAAATTTTCCGATGACGCTCCAGCTGGTTCAAACTTCAGAAACAGTGAGAGAGACAATCTCTTAGGGTCTTTGCAGCATTGACTCTTAGGAATTTTATAGGTGAGCAATACAAACAGAAAAGGCAACAAGTTTAAGAAACAAACAAAAGATATTCAGATAAGCAGATATAGAATAAAAGAAAAGAGCACATCTCAAAGGGCATGAACCCAGAAAGACAATCTTCTATAGAACAGCAGTTGCTTTTTTGATCTTCCTTGAAACTTTGAAAGCTAAAAACTCTTAAGGCATTGGTATATTTCTGCAACTACAGGCATACAGGATAAAAAGTCCATTGCCCCCTCAGTCAGATGATAACGACCCATTTTTATCTACTGAGGCGAATTCACCTCGTTAGATTCAGGGGTTGTTGGTTTACAATATTCCTTAAAAATTCTGAATGCTTTTCCTCCCTCTGAGCTTTGATGGGGTTAATTTAAAGGCTGTCGTGGAGCAGAGCAGTCCTTGGTCTAAAATTTACAGGACGGTGCTTAGGGATCTTGATGTGGGGATGTCTTAGTTGGAGATTCCGGGAGGTGTGAGTGAGAACCATGTCTTTTATCTTCTCAAAGCAATATTGTCTTCTAATGGATCCATTTCCTGTTCCCAGTGAGCCCTGGGGAGTATACATGCAATGTTTCTAGGGACGCTAACTTGGGGGATCGTTCTGGGACGGGGCTTGAGGCCAGCATGACCTCAGTGTGGCGTGTGATTTCCTCACTCCGATTCCTGGGAGATGCGCAGGGCGGGGCGAGGGCCCCTCTCCAGCCATCCATGCGCTCTCCCTGGCGAAGAGCCTCAGGTGCCCCCGGGCTGGAGGACCTCCCCTGGGCCTGAGGTTTTGATGACGAGGGGAGGCCGTTGGCCAGCTGGACACCTGTTGGGAGAGTGGGTGGCTCCGTCCTCGGGGTG